TAATACATGGTTGAAAAAAATAAATTGTAATATAATACACAAGCTATGATCCATAGGTATTGTCACTGCCTCATAGGCAGACCACTCCCCCCTTATTTTGACCATACAGTCCTCCCTTTGCTCTTTGCCTTCTTACCATCACTCTGAATTTTGAAGAATTATAATCCACCTGCCCCTTTCAGTTGCATTTAGTCTTTGAAATAGTCTTATTAGCATGGTTTATGTGTCCTGCCTGTCTATTTCACATAAAAGTAACCCAGGAGATTCCTGGTCATGGACTCCTAAGCAAAACCCCATAGACACGGACTCCTTCCTTTATTGCATCTGGGAATATGGTATCCTATAGAATAAGAGGAAACTGACAGCCCAGGAGGCTTTCAAAACAGACAAAGGCTCCCCTTCATTCTGTGCCTCAGACTACCAGTAAGTGAGGACTTGAAATGAACATAGCCACTTTTTCTAGTGCTAGGCAGGAAACAGGTACAACAATTTCAAGCTCACTGCTGCCAGGAAAGAGGTCCCTGTGCTACTTTCTTTTTAATCAATACCATTTTTTTTTCCTTTATGGTCTTTGGATACTCTGGTAACTTTGCATTATTTTCACAAGCAGTAGTCAGACCAAAATGTATGCCATCTGTTATAAACAATCATGATTATAATATCTTTTATGAATTCATATTTCCCAAGTTTCTATTTTCTTTTTTTTTTCATTAGGCTATATGATTATTTCTCTTATTGTATTACTACTTGCCTCATAACCTCGCTGTCCACTGTATACCCTAGGAAGTTTCTCTGTTGACAAGCGGCAGCTGGCACTTGTTACCTAGCAGGCATCTAAACAGTTAAAGTATCCCTGGGAAGAGAGTGAAGTTGACAATACCTAGAATTGGCATTTTAAGTTTCCCAGTTGCTCTCGTTCTGACTCTACTAACATTACTGCTCTTTGTCCTCCTTATTTTCCCATTAGCTTTATCAGTACATTCAGATAGACATTCATTAAATACATAATCCAGGACCCTGGGTCCCTGAACCTGTGGTATGTCAAAACCTGGGGCCTTAGGATAAGAATTAGAATAGAAGTTTTTATAGAAGGTGCTTTGGACCAGGAGAGCATCCAAAGTTTTTCTCAGCTGTTAGCTTTCTTTTTTTCCTTACAGAGGTATGATTGTCAACTAAAAATTGTTTATATTTAGTTTGTACAATGTGATTTGTAAAGGTGTATAATGTGATCATTTAATATATGTATACATTGTGAAATGATTACCACAATCAAATTAACACCTCTATCACCTCATATGGTCACCTGTGTGTGTGGTAAGAACACTTAAGATTTACTCTCTTAGAAAATATCAACTGTCTCCTTTCTACTTCCTTTCCAATCAATGATCATATGCATAGCTTTCCATTTTTAAGCCAGTATCCTACTTTCTCTGCATTCTGATTCAAAGGATCTTGGGAGAAAAGGGAAAATTTCCGCTTGCCAAGAGCCATTGCTCACTGGTGAGGAATGGACATACCCAATTTGAGAGAGAAAAGGCAATGAAACTGCATTTTCACTAAATCTTTTGCAGCCTTCTCCTCACTGCCACCTACACCATCTTTCCATACATGGATTGAGAAAATGGTGTAAATTCTTCTAAAAATAGAAAGTCATAGACGGTCATATGGCCTTAGATAATTCAAATTGGGATCATATCCCTTGTTCTGTTTCTCTCCTGGGAGAGCATAGGTACAGGATTGGTATTACTGAGGAGCAGCATGTTTTTTTTTTTTTTTTGACCATCAAGCTTTATTTGTTACAAATGGTTAACACAAGACTCATTTGTGATGACTATAAAATTCCCATTGTAATCGGTTTCCAATTTACATCTATACCCTTTAATAAATTTTCTTTCTCTGACTTTTCCCTTAGAAAAATCTACTACTGTTTGCTTTCATCTCTCTGCCCAATTACCTATTGTCACAGCCCTTTACATTCATAAATGGCGAAGTCACTCAAACTAGTAGCCCAAAGCTTGGAGTCATCAATCATTGACTCACTAGTCTTGCTATTCCACAGTGTCTCCTAAAGAAAGCTACTTTTACTCTTTGTCTGCACAGCTTGCTATTAATGTTTCATATCATTTCAATAAACATTTAACAAAGGGCATGTATCATGTCCTATGCTAGGTGCTAGAGATACAGAAATGTTCTGGACATGTTCTCTACCTTTGAAGGACTTTCAGTCAAGCGGAGAAACACAGTCATATTTTTCCCCTCAAAATTTAATTTGTGACATCTCATTTATTCTTGCATTTAACAAATAGTTGAAAGTCTACCAAGTGTCAAACATTGGTAAGATACTGGCAATATGAAAATTAACAAAACAAATATGGTTCTTTATGGAGCTTTTTCTCAAACTCAGCATCTATGTCTGTGGAGGTCAGTGTTTAGAAAGGAGTACAATGGCTGCAAAGGGTTATGGGTGACACTGGTTCAATGCTCAAACTGGCACCACAGTTTTTCCTCTTTGTGAACAAGAAACTTGTCCCTATTTCCTTAGGAAAGTATTCTGGTCCAAAATTTCATTAGGCTGGAAGTGAGTCAAGAACCCAGCCAGCTCTAATTTTCATCTACTCGCCCAAGCAGTCTGTAGTCTCAGGAGAGCCTGGGTTATTGTTTCAGCTAGTTGCTAAAGTCAGACAACTTTCTGATGTTTCACCCAAAAAGTCATCCCTGACCTAGGGTCAATTGCCACAGTATACTAAGGAGTACAGGAAGAAGAAATTTTTAAAAACACCATTAATGTGTTTCCCAGCCAGAGTGATCATAGCTATTCTACCTTGTAACAAGATGGAAGTGCAGCTAAAAATAACCTGAAATTTATCTGATCAAAGTCGGCCCTCCCTATCAGGAAAGCCATTCTGTTGCTTCTACTTAATCATGAGGGAGAAAAACAAGCAAGTAGAATATGAAACTTCAAGAGATACAAAATTTGGATTGTTTGAAATGTCTCCAGGGCCTCTGTATACCCACATGTGCCTACTTGGGTGGGGAAGGAACTGGTTTGGGTAGAGGCTACATGTGTGTTTCCACAGTATTCCTGGATTTAGGTATCTCCACATATGTGTTCATGAAGTGCCTGGGATAGCATGTGGATTATTTTTATTATGTATTTTCTTGTACACATGTATATTTGTCTGAATGTATTTGTGGATGTTGGCGTATGAGTGAGAGTAAATGAGAGGGTGTGAGTGTAAATGTGTGTGTTCAAAGAGCAGCTTCAGTCACTTTCTTGTAAAACTCCTAATCCATCATTTGTTCCCAGAAATACAAAGAGAGAGCTGCATATCTCTGGTGAATCTGGTTATATCCAGTGGCCTATAAGCTCTCTGAACATAGGGATTTCTAGAGCCCCTTAAAATGCAGAGTTGGGCTTCTAAGGAATACTGGTTGAATGACCAACTGACAATAGTTTTAACACATGCCTGGATCTAAAGCTGTGGGCGTTAGTAGTCAACAGGTTGAGAGGGAGTAATCTAGACATACAGGCCTTCCTGATGCCCCTGTGAGAGACCCATCTCCTCCACCCCTCCTACATCAAACATGCCCCTTCCTGAGCTTTCCCTATATGTCAAGTATTCTAGTAAGTGCCAGGGAAGCCATGAAGACTTGGTACTTTTCCTTAAGGAGTATACAGGGAGTCTGTTATATCTCTGTATCCTCTTTGTTCCACACTTGAAAAACAAAGTTCAGGCCTGACTTCACAGCCACTCATGACTCCCTCTGCTGAAAACTAGCCTACTTTTCCAACTGACTTATAGACCTTGCCTGATTGAAGAGCCATGTAAAGTCAACATACCTAAACCAACTCTCAGCCTCATCTTTTCCACCTTGTAGTCCACCCTGTACAGACTGCTAGGTCATTCTAAAACATTCTAAAACAACACTTGTATATTTTTACTGCCCTATTCAAATCCACTCAATCATTCTATATTACCTACAGACAAACTCTATCACATCCCTATATAATTGTTTATATTTACCCAACAGGTCTAAAGAAAACTTGTCTCCTGCTAAGTAGTAGTGCCACTGAAGATACACAGAGAAAAATCTAAGTAGTGATCATGGACATTTCATATTTTTTGGATATTTCATACTGTTTATTTTTTTCTGATTTTAAGATTTTTATTTTCCATACAAAGTCACTCATTCAACAAAAATTCTTTGAGCATCTATTAACTGCCAGGCATATTGAGCATATAATAGCTTCTTTGTTTCCTTACATGATAATTATTCAATCAAATATCTGATACTTAGTAGGTATAGATCAGATGGTCCATTAGGATGGGTTCTCCTGCCTCAACTCTCCACTACATTCTTTGCTTTGGTAGCAAGGGATAATGGAAGGAGAAGGAGAAGTCCTTGAAGATGGCTCATGAGTCTCCCCTTACTGGTTCTGCTGCGCCCTGCTCTATTCCTTGATTCTGCTCTGAAGCTTTCCCCTGCACACATCTGTAGAAGGATCAGTTTCCAAAAGTGATTTTGACTCTTTCTCCAAATATTTTGCATCACCATGGTCAGTCCATTACCCCAACGAATAGAGCCTGTTTGCAAGGAACAGACTTCTTGGATGATACCACAGGCTGCTTGACTCTCCGAGAGTTCCCACCACAATGCTCTCCTCACATAACCTAATTCTGTTAATATGTGTGTAGTGTTGACAAAATGTGAAGAGAGAAGTCAGGGAAAGTTTAATTGAGGATAGGGATATAGGTTTAATTTTGAAAAGTGTGTTGTGGAAAGAAGGGAAGGATATTACTGATAAGCATATATGCTTTATGTGTGAATAGGTTGGGAGAGCAGGGAAAAAGATGAATTTGGCCAAATGTAGGATGGTGAGGGTAGGAAATTCATATGAGACAAGGCTTCTCCCTAAAACCGAGCTACAAACTCCAATTTATTTTCATTGATCTGTTGCATCATCTTTCACTTTTACCTTTGCAGGAACTATAACTTACCATGTCAGTGTCTGACACGGGGCCAAAACTGGTCACATAGATGTCCGTCTTCACTTCAGTCACTGCATCTAGGCCAAAGAAAGTAGAAAAGCAGAGTGTCATGAAAGTCAGTTCCCTTACCTCAGAGAGAGTCCAGTGCTGTCCAAATGACAGCTAACTTGCTACATCTGAAAAAGGATACTTGACATAGTGATAGGAAAACCTCTCAAAAACTTATCACCTATAATATTTGTTCAGAGAACATGCTAGGTACAGGTACAAAGTTTATCCCTTTAGATATCATTGAGAATGACAACAGACTCCCCAAACTCTAAAATTTAAGAAGAGCCCTGAGAGATCACTGATATTCATATGTGCTAGACACTCATACCAGGATTACCCTTACCTGTGGTAGGTTACAAATGTTCTAATACCCAACTTTAATATTTCCAGAAAGATGGAATGATTGCCCTGCCACTCCCCTGCCCACTTAACATAGGGAGAGGCCATGTGACTAGTTTTGGTTGTGGGAGGAAGTTATATGTGTCCCTCCCTGGCTGGAACAATTAATGTCCAATTTAAGACCCTTCCTGCCATGGTCATCATAGAAACATGTTATTATAGAGCTACCATAAGACTGAAACAGGCTGGAATGATGAGCCAACACATGAAGGACAACTGTCCTGAAATGTTTCCTGGATCAACAACAGACTTTGCATGAATGAGAAATACACTTTCATTGGGTTAAGTGACTGAGAGTTGAAGATGACTGATATCACTCGATACATTCTCTTTGCATTTATTTTTCTTTATTGTACTGTCTATTTACTTGTCTGTCTCCCCTACCTTACCCAAAAGCTCCCGTATGGCAGTGTCCCTGTTTTGTTATCCCTGTATTCTCAGTACATTGAAAAGGAGTCTGTTACTCAGATGGTACTCACTGAACATTTTTGGTATGGATAGATGAATCTCATCACATATTTGCCAAGTTGGAAACTGATACCCAGAGAAGTGAAATTTCATTGCTAAGTTTCTCTTTTCCTGCTTCAGTCAGCCCTGTTTACCCCAGTGTAGCTCAGACTAGCCCACACACTCCAGCATACCTCAAATAGAACACAGGGCAGCCTATTCCAGCCTAGCAAATACTTCATCATTATATTAAATTCAAATAAATCTCACTTCAGTCCAGCATACCAAACCCCAGTCAAGTACACCAGTAGCACAGCCAATACCAATAAGGTCCACAAAAGATTTGATGTACATTTATATATATCTATATATCTACAAACATTACATTTTAAGAATAATAATAATAATCAGCACTATAGTCAGTTCATCAAAACACACACCTTACTCCCAGGCTTAATCAGCAAATAACGTCTTTCAAATTAGGGCTGTGTTTTATTTGTTTTTAAAGATTTATTTATTTTTGAGTGAGAGAGAGAATGTACATGAGCAGGGGGGGTAGGGGCAAAGGGAGAGGGAGAGAGAATCCCAAGGAGACTCTGCACTGAGCGTGGAGTTCCATGCAGAGCCTGCCCTTGCAGGGCTTGCTCTTGCCAGGCTTGATCTTCTGGGGCTCAGTCTTGCAGGGCTCAATCTCACAACTCTGAAATCACATCCTGAGCCAAAACCAAGAATCAGTTGCTTAAGAGACTATGTCACCCTGGCGCCCTTAGAGCTGTGTTTTAAGTAGTTTGGTTTTTATCTAGAGTATAGGCTTCCCTCAGAGCTATTTCTATACTTGAAGGAGAAGAGATAACACTTCAGGACCCAGAACATGCCTCCTGAAGACTTGTCCCCTCAGATACACTCCCAGGTTCATTGACTAGAGAAGTATTGTCCTACCCGCAAGTACATGAAACAAATTTAACTAAGTAATGGAAGAGACCACAATTACATTTGAATTGAGTATTCTAGGCAGGACATAGTTAGATACAGAACAACTTTTCTAAACCAATATAATTGTAAAATTGTAAGATAGTTAAACAGACTAAAAATAGATTACCCAGACCACAGGGAAAAAAAGGAGAAAAAATACTGGTGGTAAAGTTAAGTTGCAGGAGACCACCTAGGGGAAAGTGGTCACTGTAGGGAGAAAGGGAAATGGCTATAACAAAGAGTCTTGGGCTAAGATAGCAAGGCTTGGGTTCTGGATCTCTGCCCCTGACTTTCTGAATAACTTGAACAAGACAGTTACTTTTAGTTGCTCTCTTGTACGATGAGGGTATGGGACCATACAAATTCTGAATTTTTTCTTTGTACTAACTAGGAACTCTGACTGTAAAGCCAAGCAAAAAGCATCTGACTAAAGGTGCCCAACAGTAGCAAGAAGCAAGCTGCCTGAGGAATGTAGGAGGTTTTAAGGAAATTTGGTGTTCCTCCTCTCTCTCAACTAGTCACCTTCACTTAAAAGGTACCCCTTGATTGCTAAGAAGGAAACAGTGGCGAGAAGCTGCTTTCCCAATGAATTAGGGCTCACCCAAGCTTCAGAAATTTCTAGCAGGGCTTTCTAGCAGGGAAAGAGAATTGGGAAGTTTGGTCTAGTACACTGGTGTAAAATAAAAGGGAGGGAGAGTAAAGAAGGAGGGAAGAAAGAAAGAAGAGAGGAGGTAATTAGAAAAGTATTGAAGGAAAAGGCAAGAAAGGATAAATGGGTAAAATACAAATAGATAAAAGTCACCCAGAAATATAAGGTCTTGGGTCCAAGACATAGAAGAGAGTGTCCACTCACTACTCCAGCTTCTCTGTGTGAAAGAATGATTAGGAATTTGCTCTTTCATTTAACTCAATGAAAAGACCAGTGAATTAGACTAGAATTGGTGAGGGCTACAATTCACAGTCTAGTCCCAGTTCAGTCTTCTCAGGAGAGACCAATGTGAGACATTAATTAATGGAGAGATAAAAGGGCCTCACCCCCACTGTGTTTAACAACTGTTTTCAGATTCTTGGTGCTTTATTTGATTTGGGGATCCAATTTCCTTCCAATGTTACTCTTTGAAACCAAAGGTGAAGAGAATTATGTTTTCCTTTTGCAAATTTACCATGATATTGGAAGTGCTTGAAAGCTCCTGTCTTTACATGAACATACATGACCTTAGCCCTCAGGTGTACTCCCACTGGTGGGGAACTCATCAACCAGTCCCCATGTCATTTCTGCTTACTTTCATCTGAAAGAGTAAAGCTAAGCCAATCAGCAAGTGATCACTGTGTTTATATTGAATATGTTGCTCATAACAAATTGTATTTTCTAGTTTGACTTCATATAGATTCCCAAGAAATCATGAATTTTCTTCTTTGAGCAGAAACCAGAGTAGGTTCCCCAACTCTCTAGCTGTTCCACCTTAGCACACAAATAAACATTGGTCTTGGGACATGTGTGTGGTTCAGCTGGTTAAGCATCCAACTCTTGATTTCATCTCAGGTCATGATCTCAGGGTCATGGAATCAAACCCCACATCAGGCTCCATGCTCAACACAGAGTCTGCTTGAGATTGTCGCTCTCCCTCTTCTCCTGCCTCTGCTCATGCTATCTTGCTCTCAAATAAATAAAATCTTAAAAAAAAACATTGGTCTTAGCACTGCCCTTTGGACTCACACAACAAAGTTTGCTTCTTAATCTTTTGAGATTTAAAGATCTTCAGAGATTGAAAGAAAGTGATAGTGGTACCCCTAAATTTGCTCTTTTTGTTTCTTTCCATACTAAATATCCTCACTTCCTTTGACTATGTCTCCTCTCCCTTTGACATGGTTTTACACATCCTCACTATCCCTCATTCACTTTCCTCTGGCTCAAGTCTGATTTTTTTTTTCTTTTTTTACTGATACTGAAATGTTTTATGGTGAAAGTTTGTCACAATTCCATTAGAGACAAGCTCATAAGATGAATGCTATGAACAAAAGCCAACTATACCCCCTTTTCTCATTAGAGGCCACAATGGACTCTTCAATTTTTTCTAATGACAATCTTACTATGAAGAGTGTGGCTTTGAGAACTGGAACCTTGGCTAGAAGGACAAAACCTTATTTTCTTACTTCCAGATCACTGGGAATTTTGGAGAACAAGTATTTATTGTTGTGCACACTTTTCATCTTGAAGATGGACTGAACTGGTGGAAATGAGCTCCCATGTGACTGTCTTGGTTGGTTAGCCACATGAACTTAGGGAGTCGGCTACAGTGACTTGTGGACAGGCTTTCACAGATTTGAGAGGTGGTGTGCTCTCTTCTTATGTTAATAGCCTTTCTATTTGTCTTTGACAACTTTTGGGGACTAAGATACTGTAAGTTCTCAGCGACTCCACCCCCCAATAGTATTAATTACAGATAAGCTCTCTAGAGGAGTAACAAACAGGTGATTTAGGGGAGCATAAATTATAAGAGTCTGTGTTAGCTCTAATCTAATCTCTGCAATTGACTCACACCCTCTTTTGCAGACTGGGCAAGGCTCACAGCTTTCGACATTTGGTAGGTTAGATGTCTAGCACTGTGTTTATGCTACTCCATCTAGCGTCAGGTACCTGGAATGTATAGCAAATATATTTTTTTCTTTTTTTTTTAATTTAAATTCCACTAGCCAAGGTATAGTACATCATTAGTTTTTGATATAATGTTCAATGATTCATTAGTTGAGCAAATATATTTTTAATTGAGGTAAAAGTGGTATGTAACATACTAGTTTCAGGTGTACAATATAATAATTTGATATCTGTATACCCTACAAAGTGATCACCACAATAAGTCTAATTACCATCACAATACAATTGACCCCCTTCACCCTTTTCTCCCACCCCACAGTTCCTTTCCCTTCTGATAACCACCAATCTATTCTCTGTGTCTATGATTATTTTTTGTATTGTTTGTTCATTTCTTTTCCCTAGGCTATTTTCTTCCTTTTATTTATTTTTTATTATTATGTTCAATTAGCCAACATATAGTGCATCATTTGTTTTTGATGTAGTGTTCAATGATTCATTAGTTGTGTATAACACCTGGTGCTCATCACAACACACACCCTCCTTAATACCCATCAGCTTGTTACCCCACCCCCCTCCCTTCTGTAACCCTCAGTTTGTTTCCCAGAATCCAGA